AAGCACACGCAGGCACGACAAAGGAGGCCCGGGGAATGTCCAAACAGCCCCCCCCCTCCCCCCCCGTCACCCAGGCGTGGGTGTGGGGCGCCGACGCCGGGGGGGGAGCGCTCGGCGGCGGGAGACCCGCGCGGAGGCGAAGGGCTCAGGCGCGGAGAGGAAGCGCTCTCGCGGAGGGCGAGGGCCGAGGGGAGCCCCTCTCTTACTTTCTGCTGCCCGGGCACGAAGTCCCCCTCGGGCCTCCCCCCGCGCTCACTCGCTAAGCACTTCTGCTTCGCCCACATCGCGCCCTCCACCCGAGGGCGCCCCGGCAGCCCCGCCGCCGCCTACAACGGTTCGGGAGCCGGCAGACAGAAAGGGGCGGGGCGACGGGGGGGTGCGACCGATCGGCATTTATCACCTCGGCCGCCGGGCGGGGCGGAGCGGCTGCGCTGTTGCTACGGGGAACGCAGAGTGGGGCGGGGCACCTCCCCACGTGGTCCAAGAGGGCTCCGCCCACCCGCCTGGAGGCTGAGGCGGGGCGCGCGTTTCTCTTTGGGCTGGGAGGGGGAAGTGCTGGTGACGTGAGTTCTTGGTGTTCTCCAGCAGGCAGGGCAGGGGACGTGAGCCTCTTGACCGGGAAGACTCCATTTCCCATAAACCTCTGCTCTGCATGTTGGACGGGGCGGGATCGCGTCATTTCCTGTATGGAAGTTGCCTGCGGAGCGGCTCCCGGCGCTCTTCGCCTTCGACACACGTGCGCGTGAGAAGCGTCGCAGAGGTAGGAGCGAGGTCTCGTGTTGCGAAGGATCCACCGCACGCCTTTGCAGCGTTCACGGAGGAACCGCTTTGTTCGACGGGCTTTGCCCCCGGTATCTTAGGGACGACACCGGAAGAGAGGTCTTGGTGGGGCTCATTTAGAACAGCTTCTCCAACTAGCATCTTCAGCATATAGCAGTGTTTCTCAAACTTGGCAACTTTAAGATGCGAGGAATTCTGGGAGTTGAACTCCTCGCGTCTTAAAGTTGCCAAGTTTGAGGAACACTGGCATATTGGGACTCCAAGTTCCATGCTTGGCAGGGATGGCCAGGCTGGCCGGCATCTACAACAGCGACACACCGCAGCTAGTGGCCTGCATCCTGTCTCACAAAGGGATGTGCCACTTGTGCAAGCTTGTGGTGCACTAGCCTTTTTATCCTATACGCCCAGGCAGAGGGGCACACGCAACCTTTTGTTTATGTAGCCCTAGTTGTGAAATGTACTAGTTTTATAGAAGGGAGCAGCTTTGCTTATCCACGCTTGCTAATATAAAGAAACACAAAACCTTTAAGTTAGCCATGATGTGTTATACAGAATGATTTTATAGCACCTTAAAAAGTTTTAACATCTGTTTGGGGCATTTTGGGGCTTATGCCACAATACTTTAGCCATTAAAGCACAGGTCTTTTTCATGTACCCCTACGCTGAACTGTATGTGTTTATGGATCATCAGGATCAAAGCAATTAAGTGAATTCATGCTATGGAGGGTTTGTGGGACTGCATGTTCAGTAAATACAAGTCATCTGGGAGATTTTTCCATGGGCATCTGCAGAAGGGGGGTGGGTGGGTGACATGTCATTGTGCAAATGAGATTGGGAAAATTATGTGAATTGTGCAATCGTATCAAATTGCAAGTTCCAGATATTTATCTGCATTACCCTCCCCCCCCTCAGAATTATGCCAGCTTGCCCATTACGGAATAAGTATTGCTTAGTTTTTAAAAGTTTGTAAAACATCCCCATTAAAGATGGTCTTGTAATGTCCCTTTCTTTTTCAACCTAGGCCTTGATATTTCAATCACTATTTACTTCTTGGTTCTTTGTATTTTTCAGTAGGCAAACTATCTTTCGTTATGGTTCATAAGATAAAGGCCCCCATGTGTAGGAAGTATATTACTTAAATCAGTGAAGAAAATACCCAACTATTCTGACAAGTATCTGTAAAACATCAGTTTCACACACAAGGAGATATACCTGTTAACTTCTATCTCATTCCAGCGGAAAGTTTACTTCTGTAGCTCTGAACAGCAACCCTAATGCATGATGAAAGGCAGGAGGAGAAATCAAGCTGGCCTTTGGAAAGACTAAAATAATCATTTTACTTCATAAATTTAATTTAATCTATACACCCAGAAGTTAAAACTTTTTTTAAAGTACAGGAGTTCATTGCTTCAAAGAGGGGATGTGTATGAAGGATCTCCAAAGAAAAATGATTACACTTCAGTAGGCTTTGGTTCATTTTCTGCCTGGCTTCTTATGGGATAGTATTTACATTCAAATAATACAATCTGAGACAATTGCTTAACAAGGATAGGTTTTTAAAAAGTCCTCTTTTGCCAGAAAGTAGCCATTCTGAGAGCCAAGACAGATCTTAAGATCCAATGGGGCAGGATTGGAATTGGAAAGAAATAAAATTAGCTTAGCTGCATGTTTGAAGTTAGCTAGCTCTTTGGGATATACTAAGTACTTCTGTGTATGGAATCTTAAAGATTCCAGATTCCTAGGAGGAATAGGTATTTCTAGGCATAACACCATTTGCCAGGTCACAGCGTATTCCCCAGCGCAGGGCAGATCTCTTCTTCTCAGTAGGCACCAGGTAATTGTTGGGGATATAAACATGCTGAGCCTTAGGAGGCAATTCTGACTTGTAGAGCATCTGTTCCCGGATGCTCCAGCGCACACCTTTCCTGGCATCTTCTCCTGGAAGCCGCAGGGATTCCCAGTCATGCTTATGTTCCAAGTAACGGGCAACCCGATCGGTCTTCATTCTGTTCCGACTGAGCTGCTCCAACCTTGGTAATATGAAGGACTTGGGGTGCCCAGCTAGGATCAAGTCCTGCTCAAAGGATGAAGTGCTGTGGCTCTGGCTCTCTCTTCGGGAGCCCTGACTCCGGCTCTCCTCCGTGGTGCTCCAAGAATAGACTGCCTCTGACTTGGGCGAATTGTGGGGCTGGTTCTCCTCCTCAGACTCTTCCTCCTCCTGAGCATTCAGAAGGTACATTCTCTGACTTAAGTTCTCATACTCAGGGTTACCTGGACTGTTGGATTCTGTTTCACTGATGATGGATTCATCTGTCACTTGTACTTCTCCGTCAGGCGTTCGCCTCAGAACTTTCCTTTTCATCACAGGTTTCTTAGAAACTCTGGAATCCTCAGGGTTATCTGACTGCAAGCTGGATTCTGCCTGACCTTGTTTGATCGCCACAGGAAGCGTAGGCCTGGCCACCGAGGCCACTGAGGCTCTTGTGTAGGGGTCCAGCTGAGGGGCCACATGAGGCTGCCTCGGGCTATCACCATCACCATGTTCTGCACACAGGCGAATAAAGGCCATGGCGGCTTCTTTGAGCTGTTCTTCCCGGCTCATAGAGGTCCATCGGTATCGGCTGGGTCGTATTAGGGCTTGCATTGTTTCTCTCCGTCGGGGTAGTTAGCAGTTCTGAAAAAGAGACGCCAAGCTAGGTTTGTGCAATCTGCTAAGTCATAAATGTCTTACAACTCATGCTCATTTCTCAGCTCCATCTCTATCAGCCCATCTTATTTATTTAGAAACCATTTGTGCCGCTGTTGTGAAGGCAGCCCCCTCCCAGCTCCTCAAGCCAGATAGGCTGAGACGTACCCAGTGCACACCCAATACCCAGCTTCTCTCAGGCAAAAGGCATATTTGTCCCAATCTCGTCCACTCCTAGAGGTGATTTTGGGTTTTTTTGGGGGGGGGGCAGATTTCAGGGTCACTGAGCAAGATGTCCGTGTGCCTAAGCTGGGAAAACAAATGAAGTGTAGTAATGCTCCAGCAGCTTGATAAATGGCTACAATTATTCTAGGGAACAAGGATGGAGGTTATTTCTGAAGGAATACTTAAGTCTAAGAATGAATGTACAATAGTACATCATTTATTTCTCAATGCTCTTTAAGTTAAATCCTCTTTTTTTTCCTTCTGCAAACTCAGTAATTCTCTGTATTTCAGCTTTCCTTTAAAATAATTTGTGATTTTGGAATACCTAGAATCCTGTTCTAAAGAACTCTGTCAATGGAACAGTGTATTTTCCAGTCAAATCAATTTGTATGTTCCTCTTTTCTTTTAAACCACCTTCTCCCTTAACAGCTTAGAGCAGCTTAAAAAAATCTTATTTAATTTGACTTTGGTATCGCCTGATTTCAATCAACTCTGGGCAGTTCACAATATAAAAATAAACATGGGGGTTTTTTTGTATTTGTTTTATTAGGACTGAATGACAAGGCTTTAAATATTTGTTTATAAATGGGGAGAAATTTCTTTTGCTTTATTTCTCAGAGAAAGTGATAAGTTGAAATACAAAATGGATTTATCTGATAAAGGTTAAAATATACAGTATATCTTATTTCTGGTAGCTCTTAATGGACTTTTGCTGATTAAGACTGAATGATGAGTTTTTAAAAATTTACTTATTGATAAAAGATGACGTATGGGAAGAAAATACCTTTTTTATTGAAATACTAGAGAAGGTGTTAACTTATTGAAGTTGTTTATACTGTACTTGTCTGAAGGGAGGGGGAGTCATTTTTATGTATCTTTTTTCTTATTTTTTTTTTCTTTCTCTTTGTACTTC